GTACATCAGGTTGCACGTGGCCAACAGTAATAGCCTGGTTGATCAGGCCCTGATCCACCATGAGGCCTGGTCACAGACTGGGCTGCAGGGGCATTGACCCCCGGAACCCTCTCCAGGTATACTTAAGGTATACAACTGGCTTGTCTAGGTAACCAGTGTCAATGTTTCTTACAGCATCCTTTGTAGTTCAAAAGTGGCTATATTTTCTGCAGGAAGATCTTAGTGTATTCATCCAGGCGTAACTCTGTGCTGGACTAAGAGGGACTGTTGTTCAGAAGGTCTAGGATTTTGTTGTTGTAATCACTGATATAGGATTCCATCACCTATTTCAGCTGTAGTGATGTGTATACTGTATTGTCGATAATGGCCAAGCTCTTTAGGGTGGTGATATATCTTCTAGGGATGGCAGATGTAGGTTCAGTAACAGCAGCAGTGATGATACCTTGGAAAAAACTTTTCTGGAAGTCTTAGTCACTAAAATGGTAGTTTCTAATATGAAAGTGGGTTTTCTTGCAGGCACCAGTCAAATCTTAAGACCAAACTGAGAGTCACAACTCTGGTTATAGTCACTGATAATTAACAACCTGCATACATAGATAATGCAGCTCTTAGTTTGGGCTTCAAGTTTAACTGATGACCATGATGGTTTCTAAACAACATCATTGTAAACCACCATTTTAATGACATCCCTAAATGATGCATGACCATCCTTAGCAACCTGGCCATTAATGACATCCCTAAATGATGCATGACCATCTTTAGCAATCTAGCCATTAATGACAGTAGGCACATCACTACAGTTGAAAAGCTCACAATCCCTAAATATTACAACAAAGTTCTTGACCTTCTGAACTATAACATGTTAATCTTTCAGAGAGAGACCTGGACAAATGCACCAAGAACTTCATACAGATATACACTCTTTGTAGCTACAAAGGATGAGGCAAGAAACGACTACATTTGCTACCAGGACAACATACACTAACCAGGTTGTATAGATACCAAAGAGACAAACCAGATTCCCATTCATCCCAAAGACTAGCCAGACACTAACTAAAAACCTAACTAACATACTAAGCACCTTAAGTCCTACTCATCTTAAGCACTCTGGTAACTTTGCATAAGTAATGTCGACGTTTTAAATAAACATATAGTGTAAGTGTTCGCACTAATTCTGTCACTGATATATAGTGGAACCCCGGTTTTCATCCTTAATCCGTTCCAGAAGGTCAGTTGAAATCTGAAATGGACGAAAACCAAAGTAATATTTCCCATAACAAATAATGTAAATCCAATTAATCCATTCCAGATACCCAAAAATATTAACAAAAAATACATTTATAGAGAATAACTATAGCCACCATCACTACCACCCTCTACCACAATCATAATCACCCTCTACCACAATCACTACCATGCTTTACCACAATCACAACCATTACCACCCTCTACCACCATCACTACCACAATACACAAATAACCCGCACATAAAAGAGAGAAGCTTATGACGACGTTTCGGTCCGACTTGGACCATTGACAGTCACACTAACCAGAGGTGGAGCAGGACGGCTATATATAGCCGTCCTGCTCAACCTCTGGTTAGTGTGACTTTGTCAATGGTCCAAGTCGGACCAAAACGTCGTCGTAAGCTTCTCTCTTTTATGTGCGGGTTATTTGTGTATCGTTCCAGTCACGGTATTGTGCCTTTTTGTTATTTACTACCACCATCATTACCACCCTCTACCACCATCACTACCAAAATCATTACCACCCTCTACCACAATCACTACCACCCTCTACCACAATCACTACCACCCTCTACCACAATCACTACCACCCTCTACCACAATCACTACCACCCTCTACCACCATCACTACCACCCTCTACCACCATCACTACCACAATCACTACCACCCTCTACCACCATCACTACCACCCTCTACCACCATCACTACCACAATCACTACCACCCTCTACCACCATCACTACCACCCTCTACCACCATCACTACCACAATCACTACCACCCTCTACCACCATCACTACCACAATCACTACCACCCTCTACCACCATCACTACCACCCTCTACCACCATCCAAACCTTCTTTGGCCCCATGGTGGCTTATTTAAGAGTTGCACTCAATGAACAAGCACAAAAAACAATTGATTATTACAAAATGTTTCAGAGGAATGCACAGAGTATTACTCACTCAACAAGTGACAGAGGCAGACTGAGTCACATATGTGTGAGCGGCACGTCCCGGGTGGGCGGACGCACTTCATATGGATGATTTCTGAGCAGAAGTACGAAACCCAGGGTAAAATTTAGCTGAAAAAAGTGGTCGAAAACCAAATTGCATGATATCCACACTGGATGAAATTTGGGGTTCCACTGTACTGTACTCAAACGTAAACTTAGAGATGACACCAACTTACATCTACCCTGTCATAACTTTACAGCCTTCATCAAACTGTCCATTAACCTCCTTCAGATGTGAAAACCAGTGTTTCAACCCAGCCATGTTAAGTTCTCTAAGCAAAGTCCAGGCCAACATTTTTATGGAGAACTTGAAGACAAAAAAATTCTGCTTTATAATTATTAAAACAGTAAAAAAATCAAAGTTTACTTCCATATGATACACTGTTTATACAGAAATGGGAGACACATGTATACATGTAGAAAGATGATGGTTATACAGAGTATTTCAAGCAAAGATTACAAGGGCAATAAATGTTACATATACAGTGGACCCCTGGTTTACGATATTTCATTCCAGAAGTATGTTCAGGTGCCAGTACTGAACGAATTTGTTCCCATAAGGAATATTGTGAATTAGATTAGTCCATTTCAGACCCCCAAACATACACGTACAAGCGCACTTACATAAATACACTTACATAACTGGTCGCATTGGGAGGTGATAGTAAAGCGGGGGTCCACTGTATAAGGACATTATGGAGGCCATAACATACGGAACTTAAGATAACATGGACACTCTTACCAAATTCACTCTAGAACTGGAAAATGAAGGCAAACTATTTCTTGAGGTCTGATGCAGGTCACTCAAGAAAGATGCCTTTTCAGTCTACAAAAAGTCTGCAAATAAAGATAGCTTACTCATTTGTACTTAAAAAATAACACTTGCAGCAAGAGAGGTGTGAATATTGAGCTTTATATAAGTTATCTAAATCTCCAGCTCAAATTCCAAAAAGAATTCCAGAGCATCACCTGCTTGTACGTCCCTCTCTATACAATACATGTATTACAAATGGCGAGCTGTGACCTAAGTCATGTCTGCATAAATAACTCATTGTAACTGTAACCATATATAAACATGTAACTTGTTCAGCTATCAAAAACTTTGTGGCCCAGTCCCTGGACCCATTATGTGCCTCTGTAATGTTGAGGTACAGTCCCTGGACCCATTATGTGCCTCTGTAATCTTTTGCCCACAGGATGGGTATGGGGTGCATAATAAAAATAGTAAACTACATTGAATACGCTCACCTCTACAATGCCTCTACCAAAAAATCAAGACAAGTACTTAATTCTACTCGGAGAAGTGGCCAATGTCATCACCCTTCTGGTTTCTTTATAGAAATATTATCCACATTAGCTGCTATGGCGACAGCTTCCACCAGAGACCTCAGTAAGATCCTATGACACTCAACAGTGAAGCAGGAATATTCCTTACACCATGTGGAGGCTGCAACAAGACATATGTAAGAGAAACGGAGTTATTTTTCCACACACTCAACATCACAAGCATGTTTGCAACACCATCAATGACATCAATAATGACATCAAGATGACCTTTAGATCCGTGTCTTACACAGATCTAAAGGTCATCTTGTGCAGTAGAAGAATGCCGAAATAATGTAGAGAGAACCCAGTAAGGACAGGCATCACTATAATGAAGGTGTATTGCTACTTCTGAAACCGTAGAACGGACACAAGACACTGCCATACCTGCTGCTTCTCAGTTCTAATATGACAATTTTATGCCCCCAGGACCACCTGACCATCACCAGTGACTTGCATTCTCTCTTCCTTTAGATCAGTAGTATCCAACCTTTTAGTATGAAAGAGCCAGTTTAAAAACGTAAATTTAAAGGAGGGCTGCATTTTATAATTTTTACGAATAATAATAACAATAATATTTTGTAACTGTTGACACTATGCAGTGTGGAACCTACATAAAAGGGAATTGATAATTTCATGTGAGGGTCGCGTCCATTTCATAGAAGGGCCACATGCAGCCTTCGGACTGAAGGCTGCGGATCCCTGATTTTAGAGTGATCAAGGTCCCAGGAGATAAGATAAGATTTCGTTCGGATTTTTAACCCCGGAGGGTTAGCCACCCAGGATAACCCAAGAAAGTCAGTGCGTCATCGAGGACTGTCTAACTTATTTCCATTGGGGTCCTTAATCTTGTCCCCCAGGATGCGACCCACACCAGTCGACTAACACCCAGGTACCTATTTGCTGCTAGGTGAACAGGACAACAGGTGTAAGGAAACGTGTCGAAATGTTTCCACCCGCCGGGAATCGAACCCAGGCCCTCTGTGTGAGAAGCGGGAGCTTTAGCCACCAGACCACCGGCCATCCAGTTGTACGTGTGTACACTTGAGTGCTCTCATCCACGTGTGTACACTTGAGTGCTCTCATCCACGTGTGTACACTTGAGTGCTCTCATCCACGTGTGTACACTTGAGTGCTCTCATCCACGTGTGTACACTTGAGTGCTCTCATCCACGTGTGTACACTTGAGTGCTGTCATCCACGTGTGTACACTTGAGTGCTGTCATCCACGTGTGTACACTTGAGTGCTGTCATCCACGTGTGTACACTTGAGTGCTGTCATCCACAGCACATTCTGCTATGACAATTGTACATCACTGCAGAACAGATCTGAATTTGTAAATCTAAATATTTATAAAAATTAAATAACTGTAAATTTACACGAAACTTGCATAGACATTTTAATAAAAACAAATGTTTACAAGTCTAAACATTTATTATGAACATACAAGGTAAATTGAACAAAAAAAATGAGGTCGAGGACAATAACTACGAGACAAAAACCACCATTATCATACACAGTACGCACATTCGATACACAAAATAAAGGGGAATACATTAAAGCTCTGGACATAGACTGGCAGTAGTTAATACACCTGGATTATGAGTGGACTCCATACCCACCAAGTTACTGTATTCTGCAACAATATATAGTAACACTGTACACCGTGGAACACCTTGTGACATAATGAATTAGCTTTTTCTAGGTATGTGTGTCAAACTTCAGTTGGATTTTAACTTTAGTGTGTTTTTATAATTATGGGAAGTGCTAAACCCTGAAGGGTCATGTAGCCCTATTCTTGAATCTGTTTTTTAAAAACATATATAGTATAGCAGTTAAAACCTGCACAATATAGGTATAATATATATCGTTATCCATGATGTCAATACAGTATTGTATACGTGTGTATATATATCTATATATATGTGGTTAAAGGTACTTATTGTAGTTTCTATCACAATTCTGCAGTAGAAAGATCAAATACTGCACCACCGCTTGGCATCTTCCACTTGTGTCATCGGCACTGCATTGCTGCTTCCTGCCTTATTTCCTCCACGTGGTATCTTGAGGACATTGTTGGTATTTAAAGCATGGCGAGTGTGTGCTGGCCCTCTGGTAGCAACAGGTCACCACACACCAGGAGAGGATGGTCACAGGGAAGGACGCCACACCTGCTTGACAAAATGGAGTATTAGGAAAGGATCTTCCATAACTCATTTGTACCGTAACTATAATTCTATATCAACATTATGATAGTAGGTGATACAGGAATACCAACAAGTTGCAGTTGATAAACAAGTAACGTGGTTGGTATCACAGTCAGCTCACACATTATATTTATATTATTAGATTAAACCTATTGTACTTTAGCTCACTCTAGCTCAAAACATAGACTCCACAAAAGTCATTATTAGACCTTAGTGCAATTACAAGTGAGAGTCTTGTTCTATTTTTAATTTGTATTTTTATATTACTAGTTTATACCTAGTTGTACTTTAGTTCATTCCAGCACAACACATAGACAACATCAACTTCATTATGTGTAGTAGTGACTATACCCTACATGACCAAAATACTCTAGCTATATACTTGTCCAAACTTCCTACCACTACAGATATCAGTACTAGAACTCAACACAAAAACTCGGGATATAAATAACCATAATTTAAACCTAGAAGATGATTGATCACGTTGACCCTGATCAAAACCTCCATAATCTACACCCAATCAAAACCTATTGGAAAGTAACTGCCTTTATTACACAGCATCACAAGCCACCATTTATCCTAAACATGCTAAAAGTCTATCAGTACTTAACTACAACATCAGGCCCTTTAAGCAAACACTATGATGACCCCCTAGCACTCCTTGAATCACTAAAGACACCCTTCTCCTGCATTATTCTTACTGAGACCTGGCTTAAGCAGGACACAATAGATATCTACCCTCTACCAGGATACACAAGCAATTCACAATGCAGAAACAAACCAAGTTGGGGGTGGTATTTGCAATCTATTACTCTAACCAATTATCTTGTATTAGCACCATTGCTTTATGATGAATAATAGGGGAATATATTTTTGCTAATTTTTACTGTAAAAAACCTTAAGACGCCTATAACAATGGGTGCCATTTACCGATACCTCACACAAACATCCAAATTTCAGTGAGAAATTAAAGTCACTAATAACAAACAGACAAATGAATAAGCACCCCCTTCTCTTAGCTGGAGACTTCAACATAAACCTTGGCTTACTAGATGATCAGCCTGTAACTGATTTCATCAACAATATGAACAACACACTTCTCATACCAACAATAAACCAACACCATATCCCCTTTAAAATCAGGCATAATTACAGATAATACCACAGACCACTACCCTACTTTCCTCATAACAACTCTTGGTAAACTACCCAAGACACTACTAAAGTCACCTTCAGACTTCACAATGAGGCAGCCATTAACAATTCACAACAGCAATAGCAAACATTGATTGGCACACTGAGCTAGAAACCTATACAGATATTGACGAATGTATTAATAATTTTCTAAAAAAAACCCAATACCTCTAAACAAGCACTGCCCTAAAAAAATAACAGATGACAGCAAAGAGACTGAACAGTCCCTGGCTAACACCCAGCATTCTAAAAATCCATAAATACAAACACACCAATATGAAAAACAGTACAGAATGGGTCACATAACCAGAGACCAAAAAAAAACGTTACTCGTCAATCCTAACCAGCCTGATAAGAAGGGCAAAAAAATTGTATTATGAGAACAGATTATCCAATTACGAGGTGATATAAAAAAGCCCTGGAAAACCCTATCAGAAATTTTCTGGGAACAAAAAAGATATCACGAAATAGCGAAATAAAATTAGCAAAAACAGATGAACCCCAACTCCCACCAACAGAAACAGCAAACAGACTCAATGATTTTCTTCCCACTATGGGACAAAACCTTGCCAATAAATCCCAAGCTCAGTTTACCCCACCAAATGACTACCTCACCGGCCCAACTACCCGAACACACTGTTCCTAGCTCCGACTAACCCATACGAAGTCTCCCTTATTATCAACGCATTTAAAAAACAAGGCAGGAGATTTAAATACCTTACCACCCTTATATAAAAAAAAGTGTCACAAGTGCTATCACCAAATCATTGCAACACTCTTTAACAAATCCATTGAATCCTCCACCCCCCTACAGTACTCAAAATAGAAAGGGGTCACCCCGATCCACAAAGGAGGGGACCAAAAAGAGTTGAATAACTATAGGCCAATATCCAACTTACACCCCCCTCTCAAAAATCTTCGAAAATTAATTTTAACGAATCTACCCTACCTTATCTCCCAAAAACATACTCAACCCCTGCCAATTTGGATTCAGGCCTAATAAAAATACTAATGATGCTATTATACACATGCTAGAACATATACACTGCAATAGAGAAAAAAGAAGTCCCACTGGGGATCTTCATTGACTTACGTAAAGCTTTTTATACAGTTGACCATGACTTGCTCCACGTAAAATTGTCCCCACTATGGTATAAGAGGGCACTCCCTCAACTACCTCAAGTCTTACCTCAGCAACAGAAAACCAATATGTGTACGCAAATGGGCAAACTCTTCTGCACAACCAATTACAGTTGGTGCCCACAGGGAAGTTCCTTGCCCTTCTCTTTCTCCTATACATAAATGACCCTTTCCCAAAAGCTCGCAATTACTCAAACCCACACTATTTTGCAGATGACACTACATACGTCTTCTCTCACCGAGCCCAGTCACGCTAGCCAATACTGTAAATACCGAATTACAGAAAATATCTACCCGGATGAGGACTAACAAACTTACACTAAACATTGACAAAACCCACTTCATTCAGTTTGGTAACAGAGCTACAGATGTCCTCTTAACATAATGATAAATGGATCACCTATCACAAAACTAACAGAGGGAAAATTCTTAGGAATCCACCCTTTATAATACTCAAATTTCATCACAATACATCAAATTTTTAAGAAATTTCCAAGACTGTAGGCATACATCGAAGATACGGTACTATGTTCCACAGTCAGCCCTCCTGGCCCCATATCACTCTCTTATTTACCCCTATCTCACCTATGGAATTTGTGCATGGGGGTCAACAACAATTAACCATCTCAGACCACTAATTACCCAACAAAGGCTGCAGTTAGAATGATAACAAATTCTCACTACAGGCAGCACACTCCACCAATTTTTCAATACACTAAACCTACTCACCATACAAAACATCCATACTTATTACTGCACCTATTACATACATAGAACACTTAACTCTGATATTAACCCTCCCCTCAAACATCTCCCTTGCCAACCTCAACAACACATGACCATAAAAACAAGGCACAGATTACTCTTTTATGTTCCTCGTGTCCATCTCACACTATGCAAAAACTCAATGCAATAAAAGGCCCTAAAATCTGGAATTCATTACCCGTAAATATAAAAGAAAAACCCAACCCGTTTTTAAATTCAAGTTTTTCTCAAAAATTACTTACTCACACCAAAACCAAATAAATACTGAATAACTGAACATTATAAATTGTATATCTTAAAAGTTTCTCACAATTATATCACATAAATGTTAAACCTAAAAAACCCAATCTAACTTTATTTTTTTTTTAAATACATACCTAACAAAATCACTACCTAACTGAATGCAAACCCTATGACCTGTCTTTGTAATACTCACTTGTCTTTATAGTTATCTGTTACATTAATGTTTTATCACTGATTTCATCATTGCTTAGTAGCAGGGGCTGTATAGTCCTTGTGGCTTAGCGCTTCTTTTTGATTATAATAATAATTTAAAAATCATTTCTTAGTTAATCTTAAGTTAATTTTAAGCCACCCGTAATGCTATGCATAGTATAAGTGGCTTTGGCATACTGCTCTTATCTGTATTTTTTTTGTACCTCTGTATGTGTGCACAAATTGGAAATAAATAAATAACTAAACCAACCAGGCTCACTGAGACAAGTGCAACCATAATAGATCACATATGGACCAATATACTAGCCCCCCTTAAAAACAGGGATAATCACAGATAGCACTACAGACCACTACCCTACCTTCCTCCTGACAAACATTAGTAAACCACCACTTGAATACAACAAAGTCCCCATTTAGACTCCATGACGAGGCCTCAGTAAGGAAGTTCACAGCTGACCTAGAGACTGTTGATTGGCCTACAGAATTCTCCAAGGCCAATGGTATTGATGACTGGACAGACATTTTTCTTAAATTAATTAGACTATACAACAAACATTGTCCTATAAAAAACAAAACAGATCACAAACAAACGGCTTGGTTGCCCATGGCTAACCAGCACCATTCTGAAATCCATTGACAAGAAACACCAATATGAAAAGCAATATAGACAGGGCTTACTACACAAAGTTTACTCTTAAAACACTATTCATCAGCTCTCCCCAAAAGTGATAAAAAAAGCCAAACAACTATACTACTCCAGTAGATTCACAGACACTAGAGGAGATATAAAAAAACCTGGAAAACACTCTCTCAATTCTAGGGACCCACAAACTGAGAAAAACCAGAATATTGTCCTAACTAAACCTAATGAAACACCACTACATCCCACTGACACAGCTAACAAGATAAACGACTTCTTCTCAAACATAGGATCTAATCTCGCCAGTAAAATCCCACATACCAATGCCCATGCTGGGACTACCAAATTTGAAATTCCCTAATTCCTTCTATCTTGCACCAACGAGCCCACGGAAGTCATTGAGATCAAAAAGTCATTAAAAAATTTAACTCGGGGAATCTGTCTCATGTCCCACCATTACTGTACAAGCGAGCGGCCCATGTCCTTTCGCATGCTATTTCATTACTTTTTAACAAGTCAATAGAGACTAGCACCTTCCCGAAACTACTCAAGAGGCAAGGGGTTTACACCAATACATAAAGGTGGGACCCTACAGACTTAAACAACTATAGGCCAATATCTAACTTACCATGCTATCCAAAATCTTTGAGAAACTCGTGCACAGGAGACTGTATTCATTTATAACGGCTTAAAACATACTCAACCCCTGCCACTTTGGATTCAGGAAAAATAAAAGCACTAATGATGCAATCATAAAAATCTAGATCTG